AATTTGTGCTGTCTATAAAGACCGACACAATTTGTAAGTTTGGCTTCCCCTGGAAGAGGGTTTGGTGCGTGCTACTGGTTGTCTAGGATATAGTTGTTGTACACAGAAACATAGGGAGAAGGTTGGTGCTTGGAGATATTGGAGTCTGGCTGGGTCTAGCTTCTGTATTTGGCATCACCAGGATCAGAGCAACCTTACGGCCCCAATACCTGCACAATGCTTCAAACAGGCCCTAAAGAGCGAGCCACATAAAACAAACAGATTTTGTAGGTGCTGTAGATATCCGCGCTGGAACCGTTCGGATGCGAGCCGTTCTATCGTTGGAGGAGTTTTCCCATCTAGAAAGTTAGGAGTATCATGAAAACCCTAAGCTTTGATTTCGAATCTGAAGGTCCAGAGTGCAACCACTTTAGGGTGTGATAACTGATGGCTTCTTCGGAGAGGTCTGATGCTAGGATTATGGCTTCCTTGTTTTTGTACATTCCAGGTTCGAGGCACAAAGGGCGTCAGTACTGGGCATTGAGAGGCAGCAGGGCTTGAGTATTGCATGCATTGCTTCAACCGGAACCGCCACGGCATGTCATATTTGCCCAAACAAGTATTTTGTTTTCGGGACGTAACTCATGATTCCGACGGCGCCAATGATCCAGCAACTCAGCAACACTAGGCATTGCAGAATTTAGACAAGTTGAGACTCTCATTGGATTCATGGGACCAGTGCCATGTTGCAGCAGGTTGCATCACCTGTTTTTTGGAACAGCTTCACACGACACCCAAGGTCGGATCATGGCAAGATAGTCTAGTCTAGACTTAAGACTCTAGGCCAGACTAGACTCTAGGCTGTGTAGCAGCGTAACAGTGTAGCGATTTTCTTGGACTGTGGGGCCATAGCCTCCTGCAGTTGCTGCGGCCGACATGGACATAGACATGGAAGGCTCATGGGGCGAAGCCTTGGATTGCGAGCTGCAGGACTGTCAGCAGCTTTCTCAGGAGATTTCTGAAGCAGAGATCTTGCGGACCCCCAGCACTGCCGATGGTTTGAGCAGTTCAGAGTCGTCTCCGGAGGGTATGGTCAACCCACCTTCGCCTGGTTTGTCATCCAATACATGGTGGGGTCGTGTTCTGGCTCACGCAGCCCAAGATGCCGGCATCATGGGTTCTAGCTCGATGCAGTCAAAGCGGCTGAATGTGGTATCATGCTGTGCTGGAAGCTGCTCTGAGAACTTTGTGTTGAAGGCCGGGCTGGAGTACGGGCATGTTTTTCCAGCCGCTTGCTAGCTGCTAGCTCTATGTCACTGTCGGTGCGAGTCCAAATTGCACATCGTGTCAATATAATTCGTGTCCGGGTATGCAGGCCCAGGAAACCCTCTCCAGCTGATACCTTTGTCAAACTGTGTGTGGAGTGTGGAGAGTGGAGAGAGCCTGGCAACAAGCATCCTGTGGAAGCTTCGCGTGGAGTATTGCGCATGGGTCGGTAAGCCTCGGCCTCGGCCTAAGCCTAAGCTTCACTTTGTTTGCTGCTAGGTCCTGGTAGGTCTTAGTGAAGGCTTAGTAAGATGAAGGTTTTCTAGCTGTTGAGTTGTTTGTCGCTAGCCCCAATTTCAGCCATTATACAGTCTACAGCCTTACTAACTTACTAGCTGCTAGCCGCTAGCCTTCGTACCACGTGTTGGTTTTCCGTGTTTCACGGCCCCAGCTCCCCTGAACAATGCTCCTGTGTCGAGTCGTCGCCACTCCGATTCTGTGCCTTGTGCGTTGTTACGGCGTTGTTGTATCTCCGCCGAATCTCCGCGCAAGGCTTTGAACATGGAGTTCGACATTGTTTCCATGTCGGAAGCCAACCAGGAGTATCGGCGGCTATGCATGGCAAACACGAATCCTGAGCACGTGAAGCATATGTTCGGCAGCATAGAAGATCAGTGCAGAGCCCACTCACCTTGCTTGTTGTGCCACGAGCGAGGGCAGCAGTGCAACGTGCGAGAGTTGTGTGAATCAGAGGGGGTGGACCTTCTTGTCGCAGGGTCGCCTTGCGACCCGTTCTCGAAAATGAGGGCTAAGCGGTTTGCTTGTGGGACACTGAAGCAGCACGTGTCGTATGGGATCACAATGGATGCGATGGTGGAAAGCTTCCTGTGTCACAAGCCCAAAGTAGCCATCATGGAGCAGGTCGCCGGATTCACGATGACATCTGGAGCTGGTTCGAGCGACACACCGTTCTCAAGGCCACTAGAGTGAAACTGCTGGGTAGGTTTTGGGCTTTCGGCTTTTCGGGACTAGCTGCGTGCACGTTGGGTCAGGGGGCAAAAGGCAATGAAGGTGAAGGTTTTGTCGAGTCAGGCTTAGGGTGCTGTCGAGTCAGTCTCAGGGTCATGGTGTCGGACCAGAGGATGCAAGACTGCAGGTAGGATTGAGGGCACAGTGAGGGTAGGGGTACAGTTATGGGTATGGTGTACGGGTAAGGCGGGTAGG